CTAATTACTAAAAGAGAGAGAGAACAAGGCAGATTACTCTTTTCTTCAATTCCACTTTAATTGAACTAACAATGATGGTATTCCTTTTTTTTTTTTAATTAACTTAATAGAAGTAATATCGTAGCCGCCAGAATGTATAATGAAATACAAAATTGGTATGTATACTTATCTGCTTGCATCCTGTTATATGCAAATATATATATATATAACAGTTTATATTTAGACACAATTGATATACTAAACAGATATATAATGAATAAATCTAGATGTTTTCTTATTTTTGTTGCAAAATGCTTCAAAAAGGATGCATATCGATTTTGAACACGTACGTTTGATTCTAAACTAGGCAGAGCCTGTACTAGGGTAACTAGACTGCTGATAAGCATACTTAAATATTCCTAAATACATACATATAGGTAAATTATACCCAAACATAGAAAAAAATAATGGTGCACACAATTATTTGGTCTGGGTAAGAATCGAACCCACGACCCTCGACTTAGCAGTCAGGGTCACTAACCACAAGACCAACAGGCCGTAATTGTTTTATAACATTTATTTGTGTTTAAGCTACGCCGTGTTCCCATTTAACCTTTAAATAAATAAGTATATAGGTACATAGTGACGTGTAAACCAAATATATTTTAATTACTTTAAACCACGTGAGGAATTCCTTTGGGAAAAACCTATCTCTGTGTTCAAGGCGACTATAAGCAACAAGGTCTTAATTAATCGTTATAATTAATTAATATAATTATTTACCGTAACATGATGTACGTAACAAACACTATTATTATTTTGAGAACCTTGGGAAGGATATTACTGAAATAATCCTGAAACATATATGGTTAGCGGTCCTATGGTGACTACTCCTCTCTTAAAGGTCTTACTGAGATGTAAAATAGCTTTTAATATTCCTCAAGATTTTGGCTTAAAAATGCAAAAAAAAACCTTCTAAGCCAACTAGTAGTTTCAGAGATAGGCCCGCTTAAACGCAAAAACAAACATCTCAGTTTGGTTATATTTAGTAATCGAATACATCTTTTGGTAGTTCATACAAAAATAAATAAAATGAAGGTAAATAATTAACTTTTTTAAGTGTTTACTTTTACGTATAAAGACAAAACTTAAAAAAAAATCTAAATTGTATTTAGAAGCCTTTTTTCTACGTACATTCTCATTTTTTTTTAAATAAATTCACGTATGTAGGTAACTTTCGAGCTACAAGCAAATGATAGTAAATAACACGCTGTGTTTAAGTAATACTCGGTTGTCCAAAAAACACAGGATCACTAAATAAATATTAACATTTATACCCACGTTTATTAATCTAATATTTTCTTTATTTCTGCCAAGTCACTTTTCATTACTCTACAGCTCAAGAAGTTGCTATTTCATACCAAGCACTATTTACCTGAGTGGCAATAATCTATGACGGTAATTGTGGCCTGTTACACACGGTTCCGGTCATATGCCTCGGGGCTCACTCACTCACTCACTCAAACAAGCCGCCAGTCAGTCTGTATATCTACTATCAGACATGTACAAATATATGTTTTGCTTACGTTTTAATATCTGTAGGGGTGACAGCCTTTAATGAATCTAAAAAGGAATATTATATCTTACAAGTCACGGTCAGTCAGAACTGCTGAACGGGGAAGCTCGAAGGAGTCGTGCTTCGACACAAATGGGCATGCTCGACCGAGTGATCACGTCAGAAAACCCATTTTAGGTAATTCTTTCAGAGCTATTTACCGAGTGACTGAGGTTACCGGTTCAAACTTTTCTTACCCGAAATCTGATAGCTGGACTCGAAAGGCAACAACGCACTTGAGGCTCCTAAGTTGTTCTCCTATATCTACCATAAAAACTGGATCCAGATGAAATTTGCGACTGCAACAGGATATAGTCTGGAATACCACATCTAAATAACTTGTAATTAAATTCAATTGAGTTGGAATCAGCTGACAGGTTTTTACCTCCTTCAGACAGGAACTCCTCACAACATTTTGATACGACTTATTATTTTGCACTATTTTTAAGTACAAGTATATATTTGTGCGAAGAAATAAACTATATTATATCAGGGAGGAGTAACTAATATTGAACCTTAAAAATGAAAATGGAACTATTTGATATAGTATATCAGCACAAAAGGGAGAGCTACAAAATGGCGGAGTATTAGTTGCGCTGCTAGCGCTAGCTAGTTCCTTTTTGTGTTGCTAGTGTAAAAAAAAAGTGCCAACGTATCCCTGAGATGCTTCCAGCATCTGTCCTCAACGCCACATATATGTACGTAAGAATTAATGTGCAATCTCGTTGATTGGCCAGTGTGGGTGCCGTAGTGAAGTCAATTGTCATCAATTTAGTTCCCCCAGTACAGCTGCCCACATATTGTAACATGTGGCGTGACCGCGTGTTTTCCTCACTATTCTGAATGGAGTATTTCAAGTACATCCTGAATTAGTTCGAGGTTAAGAAACGATAGTGTTTCGTTTCTTTGACTTTTCCTTCTTATTCATGTTGATGACTGATGTTTTATGTGGGAATTCACTTGTGGGTAATATAAACATATTTTAGTTCGAGTTGTGAAATTTTAGGTAAAGTTATCGGGGCAAATATCTAGAGGCCTACTAGGGTCAATAGGATCGCTCGTCGCTCTATGTAGTATGTGTGTAATGGAACCCTTCTCCGTGTTATAAAAATATAACTAACTATAATAGGAAGAAGTATATAACAATAAAATAATAAAAAAACAATTAAGAATTTAATGCCAAGTTCGACCATGTTATGAAACTTAATGGGATTTTGTTGCTTATCTATTTTCATACAATTATTCAAATCAGTAATCGTTATCGCCAACTTCTGCCAACCCTAAGGCATTGATAAAAAAGAATACACATCCGATAATTTAGTGCGATGGAAATGTTTTAGTGTAATTATGATGACATGTGTTTTACTTGTGGCTGTTTTCATCGCCAGTGTTCTTGTCCAGTGCGATTTTGCGGTAACTGTCCCACTGTGTTGTTTGTTAGAAGCAGTTTTGTGAGATGCTCTATAGGTTTTAGTTTTTAGCCTAGAAATACTGCTGTGGTTAAGAGTTGTGTGGTCTAATTATGATTTTTTATTTAATGAAACATAGAATATATTCTACTAAACAGTCATATGATAACTATTCTTGAGAGTACTACTTAATACAGTTCGGTTTAGTTAGGTTTCTTTCAAGTCTCAATGTTCCAGGAACAACAAGGATACAATGGCGAGGTCTTAAAATATTCCATTGGCCTGACTGAACCCTGAAACCCCCTAAAGACCTTGGCCACCTAACGTTGTGAGGTGACCTTACCGATACACAGCTCGCGCAAAATACTAAGGTCGTTCACAATGTAGCAAAACGAAGATCTTATTCATTTTTACCGCAGACCATGCTCAAAGACAGACCCTCCCTGGAGAAAGTAAAAAAATTTTATTGTCAGTTTTCTCAATTAATATTTGGGTAATATTATCAAACTTGACAAGAAAATATTACAAATGTTATCAAAGTCTTTGCGTATATATACTTTGCACATACCTTAGTTTTAATATTTCTTAAGTGATTAAATCCTAAGTCCAGCAGTGGACTGCGATAGACTGATGATGATAATGATTCAAATTAAAATTCACATGTCAAAATTTGATGACGGATCTATGGGCAAAAATTTGCACCACTTGGGTTCCACCAGGCGACGATGGCGGGACGATCTCGACGGCCTCCGAAAAGACTGGTCCGAACTAGCACACGACAGAGAGATGTGGATGGGGGGGAGAGGGAGACCTTTGCTCTGTGGTGGACAATACAGGCTAAAAATAAAAATTTGATAACACTGAGATATTGCGAAAATTAGTGGTAACATTTTAAAATTAAAGTGAATTTATGAGTGATGCGGGTTGGTAGATTTATGAAAAAGTTTATAGATATTGCAACACTGGCTCATTACACTCGGTAGAAAGTGTCAAAATGAAAGTAATTGAAAGAAGAATTATAAGAGAAAGCATCTTAACAACATATTATATTAGAGGGTAACCATTCTTTATGAATGTAACTCATAATTATGAAACAACAAACAAACAAACATGACGTTCTCACACAGTTAATGAAAAGGAAAAAATACATTTCGTTCTTTTCTCTTGTTATGTGTAATAAAGTTTAGAGAATATATCGTAACAATGTGTGAATTTAGCGAATTACGCACCTATTTATGTTAATATTTTGAGTGGTGTATTTTTAAGAGCATGTTAATAATGATTACGTATGTATGTTTAAATTGTTATCTTATAACGTATTTAGATCATCTTAAACTTTATTTATCTCCCGTTCAACTGTTGAAATCTTACCTACGACCGAATGGCGTAGAGGTTTGTGTCATCATCAATCATCACATCAACAACTTATAATAGTCCACTGCTGGACATAGGCCTCTCCTTAGAAAGGTGGTTTTGGCCTACTATACCACGCTGGCCAGACGGGTTGGAAAAAGTTCCTTCTATTTACAGTGCTGTTGTCTTGTAGTTTGGTCCCTTAGGTTTGTGTAACGGACTGCTATTCCAAAGGTCGCGAGTTCGATTCCCGCTCAAGTCAAACATTTGTGTGCATGAGCATTTAATGTTTGATTTGGTCTGGGTGTTTCTATGTATAATAAGTATGTATTTACAAAAAATAAAGTATATAATATGTTTTTATATCATCTGTCTAATAGCCATAGTACAAGCTTTGCTTAGTTTGGGACTAGATGGCGTTGTGTGAATGTGGTAGAATATTATTATTAAATATAATGTACTAAATAAGCACAAATCTGATGAAACAAGTAAGTACCGCGAGTTGCCCGTGATCCCGACGATATAATAATAACTTTGTATTCTTTGAAATAGAGTTTGATTCGGTTAGCTGCCTGTTAGTTTAGTTGACTAGAATGCAAGCATATAAGCAGTTTATTTAATAGTCCGTTTATTTATTGTTATAGAGCGAACAGTCGTCCCCGTTTCGACGTTGGACGACAGGCAGCGGCGCTGGCAGCTCATACCGCCACCAGGACCATCGCAATATGTATAACAAGGTTTGTATACTGCTCAGATTCCAATAAAAAAAAGAAATTCCACAATACAATACAACAAAGTACTATACTATTTGTAAATGTTCTAAAATTATATAATTTTACTTGTCGGAGGAAGGCTCCCGTGTCTGTCACACAGTTTATACTGGCACAAACATCGCCGTTAACTCTAGCTTTCAAAGTCAATAAAGAATTATTATAATTTAAGCATCCATAGCAAGGAAACTGGATGAAGTGTATCCAAACAATCCTTTTGTCTCATACAGCAAATGAGCGAAGGATCAACTCAAGTATCCAACTCCGGCAATGGCTCCAACGTGACGCGCTGGTCCCTCGGTCTGGAACACCTCCTGGCTGACCCCGCAGGCGCCGCAGCCTTTGCTCACTTCTTAGCTAAAGAGTTCGCTTCGGAGAATATTAGGTAAATATATTTAGTTGTTATTGTTATTTTCATCCCGTGGGTGTTGTAAGAGGCGACTAAAGGAGCGAAATACGCAGGACAACAGCACTGCAGAGAGAAGGAAAACTTGACACAAACCCTATACCAACCCGTCTGGCCAGCGTGGTATAGTAGGCCAAAACCTCCTTTCTAAGGAGAGGCCTATGTCCAGCAGTGGACTGTTAAAGGCTGTTGATGCGTGATGATGATATTAAGTTGTTCATTAAAACATTTGTACAGTAACTTAAATGATCGCCAATACTTAGCATTCGCACTGGTGCAATAAAAAAACCTGTAAGCACTGCGCGGTTTTGTCATAAATCAGTAGTTTCAGAGATCCCAACATACTAACTTAAGCGTTATTTGTTTTTGACATTTGTATAGATTCTGCGTTGTAAGCTTATGGGATAAGAGACAAATGGAGAGACTTCAATGTTGCAAAATCTCATGATAATCACATTTCAGATTTGAAGGGAATCCCTAGTAGCTGTTGTTTTGCCGTCTACCGTGTTTTACAACCCTATTTATCAATTTCATCTTATCTCAGGTTCTGGTGGTCTTGTGAGCAGTACAACGCGACCACGGACCCAGAACGTCGCAGAGCCTTAGCGACGGAGATCTGGCAGCGTCACTTGGAAGACAAAGCCCCCGACCTGGTGAATGTCGACGCACCTGCGAAGCGGGCCACGGAGTTACTCCTCCACCAGGATCCACCACCGCCTGAGCTATTTCAACAGGTAAATAACATACTTCTCTAGATTATTTACTTCCATACACTAATATTAATATTAAATATTAATAGCATTAAAATTAATATTAACAACGACGAGTCTGTTGGTCTAGTGGTTAGTGGCCCTGACTGTTAAGCCGGAGGTCGTGGGTTTGATTCCCACCCAGGACAAATATTGTGTGATGAGCACGGTCATTTGTGCTGTGTCTGGGTGTAATTTATCTATAATATGTATGTACTTAAAAATATATAAGTATGTTTATCAGCAGTCTGGTTACCATAGTACAGGCTCTGCCTAGATTGGGATCAGACTGCCGTGTGTGAGATGGGTGAAGTTATATTTTAAAGAAGCATTAAAGAAGATAGAAGATATATCGTGAGATATGTAAACGATACACAAGAAAATTAAGAAGAGAAGAAGGGCTCAAAAGGAGAAGGCTTAATAGTCTTAAAAGAAGAGCAAAAATTTGTAAAATATGGCGGTGAAAACTTATTGTAATAGAAGAAAAGCTAATATTACACAAAATATCGGTATAGCACTTAAAGATTAAAGTTCTGACTTCCAAAAGCAGGAGATTAGTAATTGAGTTTTTGTTATGATGTTAGAATTCCGTCATATATAGACGGATTTTCTAAATTCTTTTTTGTTCGTAAGGGGTTTATCCGAAATGGTCCCATGTAATTTTCACAAAGATCTGATGATGAGTTTCGGGGATAGACAACGGAACTCTTTAAAAAATGACAGCAAATCAATCGCGATTGATGATAGGTTTTTAGTACTTTTTGTAAGTGTTGTTTGAAGTCGGTTCAACCTTTTTTGCAAATTGGATTTTTATGTTATAAAATGTATTCGCGAAAAGGTGTATATGGCTTGCATGTTAGGTATTACAAACAGTATTTTAAAAGATAATTATAACTGCCGCAGAAACTTCTTAAAAGGATACATTACTGTTACTAAATATTTAAAAGGTTAAGCCGTGAAAGCTTTAATTGTTTTATTACTATGAGTATGTAACTATGAAACTATGTAACTAAAAACACCATTTAAAGTATAAAAAATGCACTATCCACGACCATTAGAGAATCGTTAACTGGGACAATCTGATAGACTCATTGAAAGGAATGGTATGAGCCCAAATTCGAACGTTCACTTCCTACTGAAGAGTTCTACTGAGACTGCTAAGCCGGACATCCAGGACAAATATTATGTGATGAGCACGGTCATTTGTTCTGTGTCTGGGTGTAATTTATCTATAATATGTATGTACTTAAAAATATATAAGTATGTTTATCAGCAGTCTGGTTACCATAGTACAGGCTCTGCCTAGTTTGGGATCAGACGGCCGTGTGTGGGATGTGTGAAGTTGTTATAAGTTATTATTCAATGATTCAAGTTATCTGTATTCCAAATTTAACCCAAAACCGTCCAGCCGTTACAGCATGAAGAAATAACAAATACCTACATTGGTTTACATTCACACTGGATGGTAATTGAGTGATTGACTACCGCTTAATTCATTTCTATTTAAGGCCATTAATTAATGTTATCTTCAAGTTAATGTTTCAAGCACTTAGTGTTTTCAATTTCAAGTACACTTGGCATAACATTTCAATGAATCGATTTTGATATAGTACAACCATACTATACTACGGATGGTGTAGTGGTTTAAGCGATCATCTCGCTGCTTACTATTGAGCTAAGTGTTGTGGGTTCGATCCCCACATGGGAAAACACTTTATTCAATCCACAAATGGTTATTAAATGGTTATTCGACCATAATTATTAATAATAACTTGAAACACCACACACGACTGTTTGGATAACAAACATGGCAGATTATTAACCCGTGTTACGGTAGTCAGACTGCTGAAAAAAGTACTTATATATTTCTGGATATATGTAAACATAATACAAATTTAGGATAAATCGTGCTCATTACACAATTATTTGTCCCGGTTGGGAATCGAACACGCGACCTTCGGCTCAGCGTTTAGAATCACTAACCACTAGACCTTAGTTAGATGTATTGTTTTATTTAATGGACCAGCATAACCTAAGCTGCCTTTATATACATTTTACAAAGTGTCAGAGATGAGAGGAATGTTTTTGTTACAGGCCCAGAAGCAAATCTTCAACATGCTAAAATTTGACAGCTACCCTCGCTTCCTACGCTCTGGCGAGCACGCGGAGTGCGCACGCGCAGACCTGCGCGGCTTGCCCCTCCCATACGACACGCAGCAACATAACGACAGCTCTAAGGTACACTTAACTTTGAAAACTACTCATTATTTAAACTAATAATTAAGCTTACGTCACCAATCTTTCATAACTTAGCAGTATTTAGATTAGTAGTGGCTTTAAGCGTACATTTTATCTACGTGTATATAATTATTGATTACGTTGTAAAGCTTTGACGGATGGGTTATTACTTATATGTTTGAGTGAAGCTATAATCTTTCAATATGTTTGTTTTTTTTTTATATAAGACAAAAATAGACTGTTTTGAAAAACAAAAATATGTTTTATGCCAGTCATTGTTTTTTTTTGGTTGTATTTAATAATTTATTTCTTCATTTCGTGCTTAGCAGATATGATTTGATTGATTTGATCATTAATCAACTTTTAGGTTTATATGTACACGTACAAAATTGTACGAATTATTAAGAGACTTAGTGCTAAAACTACGAAATAATTCAACAGTTAAAGAAATCAGCCTCCAACGCATCAGAACGCCGGCGCAGCGGAGGCGGGTCGCTCCTGCCCTGGAAGTTGCGGGCGGGGGGCAGGGAACGCTCTAACAGCACGCAGCAGAATGATCCACAACCAACTATTGATGTAAGTTACTTGATTATAACGAACTATTTAGATCATAAAACGTTTATACTTCGAGGTTGACGCATTCATTTATAGCAGCAGTTTTAAAGTTCATACTATATTTATACCCCAAAGGTCGACAACGTGACTCACTGTTTACTCCCTTCCTAGCCATATCCTCACTCACACAGTCCTTACTCTTCTCTTGTACCCTTCAACTCCAATACCTAACACTTTCTTCACCACATTTTCCTCGTCCATACAAATATAACCTATAACTTCGTAACTTTTCATCCAGTGGCGCTACTTTACCCCCTGTAGTTTTTTTCATTGCAACAACAGCAGTACATTCTGACAGTCTATCGGTATACATTAAGTCACTTCTTTTATTATATGATAATGTTTCCTATCTGTCACATTTATAAACAATAAAAAAATTATTAACGTAGATAAAAAAAATACAAACACCTTACTTAATCACAATCCGTATCTAAAGTTGTGTATTTAGTGTTCTGTCTTGCTTAATTAAATATTTCATTATTTGTAAATAAACAGACACAAAATAGTACGGTACTATTTTCAACTTCAAAAAAGGAGGGTCTTCATTTGGGTGTATTTTATTTTTTAAGTTTGTTATCTCAGAACTCCGTCATTTGTGAAACGATTTGGTATTTTTTTTTTGCGATATTTGGCCCCATTCAAATTTAAAGTGTAAATACAATTTTAAGGGTAAAAAATTAAGAAGAATACAGTTTATTTCATATGATTCATCATGATGTTGAAGTTAGTGTTTATTTTTTTAAAGTAAATTGTCACCTGAATTTGTAAACGGAGTTCCTCCTTATTTGGCAATTTAGGAGCTATTAATGAGATTCAGATGTTAACATTAAAAATATTAACAAGTTATTTTTGCAAAATCAAAAGTTCTGGTTTATAATTACTGTAGTATTTTACCACTAAGTAAGAAAACGAGATTACAGTTTGTGAGATGAATTCCAATCCATATGTAATGAAACGAAACAAACTATGAAATCGTCATAGAAAATGTATCTCAGCGGTATTATTCTGTATTTATTGAAAAGCCACACCTGTATGGTGTGAACTATACTAATAATAGTCAGATGTTTGCACGTGTGTCACAATGATTTTACACTTCAGTAATGTGCACCTCACGTCTTTACGAGTCTACATAAACATTTTAAAACCAGTTTACTCCACATTTTATGTATTGATTAGCTTCTGCCCGGCTTTACTGCTTTATTTCACATCCGTGTTCATATAATATTTCATCATCATCCGCCTTTAATAGTCCACTGCTGGACATAGGCCTCTCCTTTAGACCTTTATCTATAATTTATAATGTACTAGATATAGGTATAGTACTTTATAAATTATATACAGTGTGGCGTAGTATTATTATTTATTTTTTAAATTTTGGATTGGTCTCAGAAACATTGGCGTATGTCATGTTTTAAAAAAAAGGTACTTTCATTCACTAATTCTGATACAGTTGTCATGAATTTTTAAGTATTTGCGTTCTGTTTCTAGTGCTATGTTAACAATAAAGAATTCCCTATTTTGCCTATAATATTGCAAAGAAATAATACGAAATGACAAAAATTCTTACTGATTGTTTTGTTTGTTTACTTTGTATACCACCTAGCGCATAAAACTTTATGGGAATTGCCCATTGTTTGAAAAACATGCTTATTTATTGCAGAATGTGAAATAGTAAAATATTAATAAATAAAATATTAATAAAAAATAACTAAATAAATTATTTGACGGAGACACGTGTTTATAAAACTACTGTAAATCGATTTTTTGTTGTGCGATTGAGTTATTGGACTAGCGATCAAGAGGTCGTAGGTTCGAATCCTGACTAGTACACTACCGACGTGAACCCACTCCTAACATAAGCAATTTAGCTTAGCGGGAATACTAGTAATTTTGGTTGGCCCGGCGACTTTTGCGCACATTTCGGCTGTACTTTAAGTGTTTGGATTAATTAAACAGAATACGCAAACATGTATAGAATCTTGTATAGGCATAAGCTTAATCCTTATTTTTTTCCTTTGAAAACTTTTGTCACCGGATTATGCGCGATCATTTACGTAATAGAGGCCGTCGTTATTTATGTAGTCGAGCCTACTGGATTTGAAATTGGGGTTGAAAAAATATTTATTTACTTTGTTCGGCTTTAGTATTTTTATCATATGTAATGTATGTATTAGTTACGTATTACGTGTGCAAATAGGATCCGATAGTTATTTTATTGAAGAGTACAATCGAAGTAGATATAAAGAAGTGAATAAATATATGAGTCACGAGCGGCGCGTCAGAAACCGAGCGTAACACGATCGTCGTATCGGCAGGTGGTGAAGTCGAGCCAGACGGCCCCCGGGCAGTGCTCGCTGTGCCGCGTGGTGCTCCCGGACGGCGCCACGTCGGTGGTGGGCGTGGACCCGGCCGTGAGCGTGGGGCGGCTGGTGGAGCGGCTGCTGCAGCGGCGCAACCTGGCGTGCTCGGCGTACGACGTGGTGCTGAAGGAGGGCGGGCAGGTGGAGCTGTCGGCGCCGTCGGCCGTGCTGGGCGGGCGCGAGGCGGGCGTGGAGCGGCGCTGCGTGGTGCGGCTGGAGCTGCGCGGGCGCTGCGTGGCCGTGCGCTGCCGCGCCGCGCGCCGCCTGCGCCACGTGCTGCGGCCCGTGCTGGCGCGCTACGCCCCGCACCTGCCGCCGCACGCCGCGCGCGCGCTGGGCCTCGGCGGCGACCTCGTGCACCCCGACACGCTCATGCAGGTACGGGAAAAAAACGGATTTTCTCCAAAAAAAACAAATGTGTTATTTTAATTTGCTACAAAAAATTGCTATCGTGCTTAGAAATGTCGATCCACTTTTATAATAAACTAAATAAACTGATAAAAAACATTTGTTTGTACCGTAATTAATGAATGAATTAACTTTAATAACGCAATATGTTAATATACTTACATCAAAAACATTTGTATACTATACTACGACACGACAAAATCACTTTATTTATAAAGAAAATGTTTATTCCCTACCAGGACCTCGACGGCACTCGTCTCCAAATAGTAGAAGTGTCGGAGAGCGGCGACTACCGCCCGACGACAGAACGTGACGACGACGCGGACTCGCTCAGCGACGTGGCCGTGCGGATACAAGACGACTCGCTCCGAGACCAAGACACTCAGGTAGAATATACACGGACATCTTACGATTCGGCTTGCCTATTTGTACTATTTTAATTAAATATTAACATAATAACGTATAAATAGGCAAGTTATTGGCACACTACAAAATGTTGATGGCAACACTATAAAGTGTTGTCATCATCAAAAATCCCTTTTTTATAATTAATTCATCCGTCGTCTTGTCTGTTGTCAATATAAAAAAAAAGCTTTTTTTATCATATACAAATTTCTAATTTAGTTGTTTTTCATTTATTATTTTATATTGCTGACAAATTTAAATTAAACTGTCATTGTATTGATAATTATCATTAAAACAAAAAACAAAACTTGAAATTTTAATTCTACAACTTTTCCGTGTAGTGACGGATTAAGAATACGGAATGTCACTACCCCAATTCATCCCGTGGGTGTCGTAAGAGCCGACTAAGGGAGCAAAACAACGCAGGACACCAGCACTGCAAAGAGAAGGAAAACTTGACACAAACCCTATACCGACCCTCCTTTCTAAGGAGAAGCCTGTGTCCAGCAGTGGACTAGTAAAGGCTGTTGATGATTCCACAACTGGTTCGAAGAGATCTCTTTACCTATTTAATACATATATTTAGAAAACAACACACAATTAATATGAATGAAATGTAAATATTGTCGTTTGTATTGTTCCAGAGTGTAGGTGGCGCCAGTAGTCGCGGGTCGCGAGTTCGAGCCGCGCTGAGACCAGGCCCTCCCCTACATCATCACCCACCTGGTTAGTGCACAAAAACTATTGAAATAAAACCACTTACTAAATAACTAGACTAGTTTATCTAACATTAATAATAATAATTACTAATTCGGCAATCGTTGTACCGATAGTCATATCGGCCATTGGATTAGTTGCTAAGAGCCTCGACCAACATCTTCAGAGGCTCGCGTTAGGCAGTTGGATTAAGGGTCTGATGCAGAAAGCAGTTCTTCTCGATACGGCAAGTATTGTGAGGAAGTTTCTGTCTCTGGAGTCCTAACCACCGATATCTTGGTCTCTGTACCCGATACCGATGGGATACTATTTTTTATATTTTAAATGTATTTTTTTTTTGTTTTTGTCTATAAATATATTTAAAAATGTAATTTATATGTATAAAGAATGAAATAAAGATAATAATAATAATATTCTACCACATACACACAACGCCATCTAGTCCCAAACTAAGCAGAGCTTGTGCTATGGGTACTAGACAACTGATATAAATACATATATACTTCTTTTTTTTTGTAAATACATACATATTATACATAGAAACACCCAGACCAAATCAAACATCAAATGTTCATGCACACAAATGTTTGACTTGAGCGGGAATCAAACCTGCGACCTTTGGAATAGCAGTCCGTTACACAAACCACTACCCTATCCGGTCGTCTAATAATAGGTCCTTATAATAATAATATACCTCACACACGGCCGTCTGATTCCAGACTAGGCAGAGCCTGTGCTATGGTAACCACACTTCTGATAAAACAGACTTATATATTTCTAAATACATACATACACAAATGAAAAAAAAACTAATATCGTGTGATGAGCACGGTTATTTGTTCTGTGTCTAGGTGTACTTTATCTATAACTAGCTGACCCGCGCAACTTCGTCTGCGTCTCTCAATAGTAATAAATTTTCTCCGTTTTTGAAACATTCTTCATTGGTGCTCCGCTGCTATTGGTCTTAGCGTGATGATATATAGCCTATAGCCTTCCTCGATAAATGGGCTATCTAACACTGAAAGAATTTTTCAAATCGGACCAGTAGTTCCTGAGATTAGCGCGTTCAAACAAACAAACTCTTCAGCTTTATAATATTAGTATAGATATTATTATGTTCGGGAGAGTAGTTTTTTTTTTCTTTAGTCAGTCAGGGTCAATAACCACTAGACCGACAGGCCCGTCAAACATAGGGTCTGAAAAAGCATGATCACCTAACATCAACAACACTTAATTAACAATTAATTAACACGTAACTTTGAATAGAATAACCAAACATTCCTCCACATCTATCAACTCCATTCCTGTCTCGGTGAAGCAGTGGTAGCGTATGCGAAGGCTATACTGAGGTCTCGTGTTCGATTCCCGGTTCGGACCAAATGTTTATATGATCTGCAATTATTTGTTTCGGGGTTTGGGTGTTTTCTATTTATAATATGTATGTATTTACAAAATATGTATACATATAAGTATTCTATCAGTCAATCTAGCTTTCATAGTACAAGCTCTACTTAGTTTGAAAATAGATAGCGTTGTGTGTCAGATGTCCGAAATATTTATTTTATTTTAAACATTAGAAGTAAATAACTTGGCAATAGCATTTTATGACGTCACAAACCGATGTTATTTTGTGATTTAAAGAAAAACTAATTGAATCTTTATTGTCTTTAGATTTTTTGGAGAACCTTCGCGAAACCCAACAACGGCTTCGACTGCAGAAAGCTGAGACTTCGCCCCCCGCCTCTCCGCTGGCACCCACGGCCACCCCCCGCACTCCGCCACCCCTGCCCCCTAAACCCACACATCGACAAGCGCCCACAGTCATATGAACTCTCCACGCGCACTAAAACGGCGTTTAAACTAACTCAATCTTATCGATTGAGTCCGTGGACTTCGATGAATAGAAGTCGACTTCTAACTTCGACTGGAAGTCGTCGAAGTCATTATGTAACTTCGACCAGTCGAGGTCGGAATAAATACTTGGCAGGGACGAGAGTGTGTCTCGAATAGTTTTGTGTTCGAATAATAGACACGGATGTAATTTTAAACTATAGTCATTAATTCATGAAGACATTGACTAATGATAAATAAATTCTGTAAAATTGAGGTGACGACAAATCTCATAGTATAATGTACAAACTGGTAGCCATTGTTTTTTTTTTTTAATTCTGTATCACGGTGGCAGTACACATTAAAATTATGCCTACCCACATACTGTGACAAAAAATGGGGTGGCAATAATACCCTGTTATAAAATTGCCTCCAATGCGTACTGGTCGTTTCACAACAATTCTAGTTATATTATTTTATAAAATTTATACTGTTTTGTAAATACAATATTTGTAACTAAACTGTGGTGCCTTCCATAGGTGTATAAGACTGCACTAAAATGTTCATATCACGAGTAATGTAAAACAAAAAATTGAATATAAGAATCTGTATTTGTTAAATATTTGGAATTTGTATATTCATAGTACTACATGGTATACTAATATGTGAACTTATTTAATGGGCTAATTTTTTTAGTAGTGTAGCCATTGCTTAAGGACGCGTACAGTTATGTAAGCTTATAAACCTTACTGCACTTAAATATATAAATTCTGGGTAATACTGGGTTCTTCGCTCGCTTAAGTGTACATTTTTTCAATCAATTGTTTTTTGGTATAAAATAGCTTATGTGCTATTCTAGACTATAAACTATCTAAGTATCAAACTTCATCAAGATCTGTTTAGCCGTTCTGACGTCATTGATTAACGAACATCCAAACTTCCACACTTAGTGTTCATAATATAAATTGGATCTACAAGTTATTATTCAAAAGCCGAAAGAATCGTGTTTTAAATAAGTAAGTTTAAAGAATTATTTGCCGAAGCTCACTTGCGCAGGCAAAGCATCTTTGTAAATGGAAATTATTGTGAATGTAATTCTAATACATGCCGGTGAATTTAGCTGTATACCAAAGCATGCAAAGAATAACAGAATACAGATTGAAAATCACTTTCATTGACAAAAATTTTTTGCTTGCGCTGAACCTCTCACAATACATAAACGACATAATTAATAAACGACTATTTGTTCAATTTACGTAGAAATTAATAATTCAATTTTTACACTACCTTTTATTATAATTAATCAAACCGATTTTTAATTGAATTATTTATTAATTTCTATCGGAAATTTCATGTAAAAGCTTTATATTAAAAATAATGTATCTCAAATGTAATATAAGAATTCAAATTTGTATACTATGTCTAGAACTGAATAGAATAAATGTAATTGTGACGTAAAGATAAATATTTTTGGAGTTTACCTCTTAAGAATCGATTTTCATATAAGGCGTCCGGTAAAAAAATAATATGAAGAGTAAAATTTAGTAATCGAATGACCTCGTTACGTTTTTGTGCGCAACGTATCGTGCGCACCTTTAACTAGTGTGTATAACTTGTAGATATACTTGTGTGCAGCAGAATCGGTCTTAAGGACTAAACTCCAGTCGTACGTCGGAGATGACACATACACACACATTTTTAATTTTAAATACTAATTGCCTACACATACATACTTGTATGTTGATGTACTGTAACTGTTCAGTCCACAAAATGCTTAACCAATCTGTGGATTAACTGTCCTAAATTATGTGTATTCATATTTCGAAGAAATCATAGACCTTGGTGGGATTAAAAAAATTCTAATGATTATAATAAATAGGTGTTCAACTGAACAGGTTATAAATACAGATAATTTTTGATAGTTTAGCATAACTCAATTCAATTCTATATCATATTAAATATTTGTTAAGAGTATAGTAAACTTTAAAAAAAGTATCGCTGACTTAAACATATGTTATAAATTTTAATATGATATATTCTTCTTTTAATTTCCACCATTCGATCCAATGATTCTTTGTTTAATTTAAGAAAAATATTTATCAATGTATTCAAAAGGAATTATTGAAATGACTTGTTTACATACTAAAAGACAAAAAAATATCAACCGAATTGCGAATCTTCTCGTATTTGGATTCGGTTAAAAAACATTCAAATGTAATAAGTAACGATGACCTATTGTTTCATCTTTGGAATATTCGTTGTCTCGGTTTATCTCACTTGTGAACAAATATATCTATCTCTGTCATTCTTTCCAGTTAGGAAAATGGCTGAAAAATGGTCTTACCTCAGTTAGTTGTCGTATAATCATTGTGGTGTCAACACTTAATTTAAATGAAACGGTATTTGTACTTTGTAAGTTTCCAAATAGTCAGTAGGTAATTTATTTATATATGAATTTGAAGGATTCTCGCAGAGTATAGATTTTATTAAATAAAATATAATTTAAGAAACATTGTTGTTTTTTTTTTATCTCTATTGCTCAGCAGTCCAGGCGTACGAAACCTTATAACCATATCTTACACTATGGAATGAAAAAATGGAGTTTTTTTCATTAAATAGGAGGGCAAATGAACAGACGGTTCACCTAGTGATGACTACCGCCGCCCATGGACACTTGTAAATAAAGGATCACAAATAGTGGGAGTCGTAGGACTCCACAAGACTGATTTTTTAACACTTCGTAATTTACATATATCCAAGTATTAAAAAAAATACTCGTACAACCCATTTTGTAGGTTGTAAGGATGTTGCAGATGATACCAAAGTTGTCAAAGAGGTTATAACTCATAACCTGCTCCCACAAAGATCACATTTTAATGGAATATTCTCTAAATAGTTTATTTCTTTTATATTTTACTTCAACTCACTTAATATGTAAACACAAAAATCACAACCCTTGAAAGGATTACGAAAAATTAAACGTCAACAGCCAACCTATTCTGTCGATTAGAACTGCTTGCCAGATGACTATATACTAGTGATGCATGACGCTACGCTTTAATATCAGAAAGAAAATCCATACTAATATTATAAATGAGTAAGCTGCCTGTCTGTCTATCGGTCTGTGCTGAACCTATTTAGATGAGATTTGATATAGAGATAGTTTGAGTCCCGGGAAAGGACATAGGATAGTTTTTATCCCAGAAATCACTCTTTAAGGGGTGGAAGTTTGTATGTGGAATCAATAACCGTTGAACCGATTCAAATGAGATCGCTGCCAGAACGGTACTTTCATCATTGACAGATTTTAAAACGTCATTAAGAAAAAAACAACTTTGTGGAAAACGGGTTAGTCGAAGAGTTCACTAGCACTTGGACCATAAATGATCACACCACATCACATCAACCGGCCTTTAATAGTCCACTGCTGGACATAGGCATCTCCTTAGAAAGGAGGTTTTGGCCAACTATACCACGCTGGCCACACGGATGGGTTGGCATTGGATTTTTGTCACGTTTTCCTTCTCTTTGCAGTGTAGGTTACTCCCTTAGTCGGCTCTTGTGACACCCTCGGGATGAACTTTGATTCTTAATCCGTTTTCACCACACGGATGGTAAAAACGCACAGTTTACTGCGTTTTCAGCAATACATAGAAATCTTAACACTTAGAGTTAGGAAAACTATGTACATATTTTAAAACCTTCATTATATAGATCGTTAATTATTTCACGCTTTGTCAGTCTATGTGTATAATATTAGGTCTTTACCTATGAAATTGCCGTTTTGTATGCAATAAGTGAAAGTACTTATTTTTTCAAACTTTTTTATTTCTGTTATTCGAAGTAATCACCCATGCAATCGACGCATCTTTGCCAACGCATTGGCAGTTTATTTATTCTTGTAAAAATCAGCTGGACGGGAGGCAACAAACTCTTTAAAGGCATTTTGTACTGCCTCTCGGGAATTGAATTTTTTACCCACTAAAAAGTTGTCTAAATTTTGGAAAAAGTAATAGTCGGTAGGTGCAAGGTCTTTTTTTCTTTAAGGTTTGAAGGTCGTATCGGTCCGGAAATACTGCACACGGTAATCCGTTCGACAGATTGGTTGTGCGAGCGCAAACTATCCAGTTGATAGGGATGAAAAGTTGCGACCAGTATTAGTCTGAACAATTCAGTCTGATAAGGCGCACAAATAAACTATTTATTGTTTTTTTATGTAAATAGGAAGCAAACGAACAGACGGGTCACCTGATTGTACGTGATTACCGTCGCCAATGGAAACCAGCAGCAAGAGATACAAGTACATTTGAAGACCAAGAATTATGTCAGGGGGGAGCAGGGTTGACTCTTCGGTTACCTCACTTTCTCGGCGAATGCAAGGAAAAAAAACAGTGACACTCCGGGACTGCCGACAGAAGTAATAAATTTGTTTTTCTTTGATTTTTTTCGATTCTAAAAGTTCCGACATGAATATATATCTATGTTGTACGTTTATGCATAATATGTTTATATTGTGTATAGTTATATTGTCAATGTATTTCAACCCAAACTCAATTCTTGTGTAAATGGGGCCAATATATGTATATACAGAGGTGTCGGTAATGGTAATGGTGACGCGTATTCAATGGTTTTTCCCATCTCAAAAAATACATTCTTTTGTTTGTTGTTTAAAAATACCAAGAAGTTTTCATCTCAAAAATAGTTTAACACCGGTTTTCTGTGGTGTTGCCATCCGAGCTGGACCTTAGTTAATCGAACGGTGAAGGAGACCGGCTGTTACAGTATATACCTTTACTACAATTTAATAAAAAATAAAAAACAATAACACTACTCATTTATTAACATATCTACAATCACTTGTCGGCAATGGCTGGTTGTTCCGCTTCAGTCTCAACCTTTACAATCTCAGGTTCTGGTTCTGGCATGATCTTGGTCAGCTTCGAGGGTTCTTTGGGTGCTGTCCAGTCAGGTATGATCTTGTCGTGAATGCGCCAGGTCCCATATAAATTTGATAGATGTTTCTCAAAAACGATATATTCCAAAACGTCTTTGGCGAGGATTTCGCTTCCATGGATGAGGCGTCCAAAGCGGTCATATACAGCTAGTTGTTGGCGAGTGTGGAATCGAACTGTGATCTGTTAAAAGTGCAAAATTAGTTGTGTTACAGAACTTAAAAATATGTGGGTAGTTTGAAAATACTAGTGACTTTCAGCCATTCTAATCAATGTTTATAGTAGTTTAATTGCTTCTGTTAAATCTTGAATACTTTTAGAATAACAACTTGACACGTCATCCACTGCATCACCCTTTTATACATGTAGATTTTGTAAACCATACATCGTCACATCACATCATCAACAGCCTATACTAGTCCACTGCTGGACATAGGCCTCTCCTTAGAAAGGAGGTTTTGGCCTACTATACGACGCTGGCCAAACGGGTTGGTATAGGGTTTGTTTCAAGTTTTCCTTCTCTTTGCAGTGCTATTGTCCTGCTTAGTTTGCTCCCTTAGTCGGCTCTTACGACACCCACGGGATGAATTGGGGTGGTGACAATTTGTATTCTTAATTCGTCACCACACCATACATATTAAAGATAAATTATTTATCCTATTAAACCCACAATAACAGTCATAATCACTAACTACTAAACCAAAACATCAGTCCACTGTACTAGCAACAATTAAATCACAATAAAGTGTGCAACGGTCAACTGATCTGAAAGATATGACATATGCTAAGACAGGAATGAGACAGGCTTCCTGATGATGCCAATTTTATAAACAATAAAAGCTTATAATCAAGCAAATTGCTTGTTTACCACTTTAAATATTTATCCGATTATCATGGTAGTTGTTGATTTTTATGACTACGTACTTGTCCAAATATATTTTCCTTGCTGACTACATCAGTACATCTCGCATGCACAATTGTCGGGGGTTCAAGAGATTCGATAAATTTCCACCTAATAGTCTTCATGCTGCTATTGTGTCTGAACTCAGGATATGCCTTCTCTGTCACATACAATCTTAACCCTCTTTTATCATTATTGGCTAGGCACTCATGAGCTTTAATGTACATCTCCTGAGCTCTCTGTACAAATATACTTCGATCAAAATCTTCTTCAAAAGATTTTATTTTACGTATAGCCATCATGGATTTTGATTTTTTCTCTAAAAGCTGTACAGTCTGCTTGGCACGTGTGGTGGACACAATGGATGCTTTGCCATCCCCTTCTGGTGGCACATAAGCCTCAAACACTCCCCCTAAAAATAGAAAAATATTAAGTTTTTTTTTTTTGTTTTGAGTTTGGAGATTTACACTAGGAGTTTAAATATTGCTTTGATTTAACTCTAAGTGTAAGTAGTGTAAGCTGTATTCGCACACCATGAAGATTTGAAGCAGTTTTCATCAGTCAGATGATTTTTCAAGGAATTTTTAAAAATATGAATGTTTGAATATTTATTACTTAATCATGCAGTAAGCGCTGAATGAAATTGAATGAAATTTAATACAGGTATAGATCATGATCTGAAATAGTTACTATTTAATAGGCTACTATTTATCTCGAAACAGATTATTGTCAAAATCAACATTACTGTGTGCGAAGGCACAGCAAAAGCTAGAAAAACAATACACCTGTAGCTGAAATGTAGAAAGGTCTCTCCATCCAAGGTCTAGGAGGAAGTATTCCCCTCTCTTTCATTTTCTGTCGCATTTTCTCTGGCGTCATCTCACTCACAACTTCATTGGAATCAGGAAGTTCGACTTTGAGAACTTTTTGAGCCCTCAATTTTTTAAACTTAGGGATCCAATGTTTAGAGGTTGTGGTGCGAGAATGCTGGTTGAATATTACGGGGGCTATTCTAAAAACGCCAATCTGTAAACAAAACCTCAGGTGAATAAAGTCAAATGATTAAAGGGATTATAAAAATTTTAGTGACATAACAGATACCTTTGACAAAATATTGTTTGCCATTATTTAGTTTCGAAGTAAATATCTCTTTATTTACAATTTTTATTCATGTACTTTCCTTTACTTGCAAAATAACCTAGAAGTAGAACAACATGTAATATTATAGGTATTCATTCAACATTGACAGTTGACACTTGACCGTTTGACAGTCATTTTTTCAAAGCAAGTCTAGACTGATAAAAATCACGTAAAATATCAATTCTGAAAAATTACACTGTTTTTACCTAAAAAGACAATTTTAATTATCTTGTATCATTTAAGCTAAATCTCAAGTGACTTCCATAAAAATAAAATATGACTGCGTGCATGATGACTAATAGCCAAATGATAAAAATAAAACATACTTAAGTACTTCTATACTAATATTATAAAGCTGAAGAGTTTGTTTGTTTGTTTGTTTGTTTGTTTGTTTGAACGCGCTAATCTCAGGAACTACTGGCCGGATTTGAAAAATTCTTTCAGTGTTAGATAGTCCATTTATCGAGGAAGGCTATAGGCTATATATCATCACGCTAAGACCAATAGGAGCGGAGCACCAATGAAGAATGTTTCAAAAACGGAGAAAATTTATTACTATTGAGAGACGCAGACGAAGTTGCGCGGGTCAGCTAGTAAGTAATAACTACAACAACTTTAAGTTTCCTGCACCTGCTCATAGATGATTTAGTTTCCTACTAGTTAACTAAATAACAACTTTGCAAAAAATTTAGAATTACATTAGATTTTACCACATAAACTGAAAAAAACAATTTGTTACTACAACCAGATTTTTCTTTGTGGTTCATTTCTTTCACCTGAAGTCTAAAAGAAGAAAAGAGAAAATAAGAAGAAATGTCTAAAAATACATTTTAGACATTTCTTTTAATTTGAAAGCCAAAATACATAACATACAGAACACGTGTTATGTAATACATGAGCTTCGAACCTTAACCTTTCTTGTTAATAGCGTATCAAAATAAAAAACTAGTTTTTTGTTTTACTTTACTTTCTTGGTAAAAAAAAACACATCTTGTAATACTGATGATGTGATGCATCTTTTAATTTCATCATCCTGTCATTGTTATTCTAATAATGAATTAATTATAATATTATCTCCTTGGATACTTGAGCTTAGATAATTTTCTTTTTTGTCAAGTTTTTTTTTGTCATTTATTTATTATGATTGTTTAAGTGTAATTTAGTAAAAAACTAAACATATAATTGTCGCAAAGTACGAGCACCTTATTTAAAGTTATTTATTCCAAAAGATTTCGTTTTGAATACGAAAATTTTTGAATTGAAAACTTTGTCCTTACGATTTGTTTCCTGTGCTTGCAAAAGTCATATGTTTACGAATAAAACATGTCTATGGTGTTTTGTTTTTTCTGCCATTTTTAGTCAAATACTTTCCATTCAAATTGTGATTTTTCTATTTAAGTGATACAAAATTCATCAAATTTATTGTGTCGTCTTATTAAATATTTTTATGCTTATTGAATTTTTGACTGCTTGTTTACACTCAATATATAATTTTTTTACTGTTTTGTCTCGTGAAGAATTTACACCTTATAGGAGCCTTACAAGTGATATATTTTGATTTAAAGAGTAAATATAAGTAAATTGCCATATTTCTTCTCTAGCTTGTGATTTTAAATTATTCAGGAAATAAACTAGAGTGTAAAACTCTCCAGCACATTTGAATCGATCGTCGTAGCTAAACCGGAAATCCGGCTACTCCATAGTCCATACACGTTGTCTCTAGCACAAAGGAATAGAGACCGTCGCAGCGTTTCTTTCTTTTCTGAACAGGCGCAGTCCTAGAGAACTCGCAAAAGGAGTAAAAGGCTCCTACATAACCTGTCTATATGTAAGTACCAGTGCACACATCAGTATATAGCGCGTCGTTACTTTGTTCGTAATTTTCAATTGTGTTTCGAAACTCCTGGGAGCTCCGCTGAGTCATAATCAGCCAGGTGATCACGGACCCTGCTATCGAAGCTTGGAATATTCCTTTGGACTTTAAATTCGGCGGTTCCGCTATACTATCAGTAAGTGGGACGCGTTCGGACGCCATAGCAGTAGGACGAAGGGCCGAGCCAGTGTTGCGTAGCGCATACTGCGGCCGATGACCTTATAACGGAACGGACCTTACTAATTGCCACGTGTTTTTCTTTTCAGCAATATATTGTATGAGTCAGAAGGTAGAAAAACCAATATTATCGGGTCAACGGATCAAGACCAGAAAAAGAGGTATGTTATGTTTGTCTTATACTTAAATACAACTTGCGAGGATATAACGAGATTTAAGTTTTAATTCAGGTCATTGATGACTTAAGTTGTCAATAATTGTGTTAAGTTAGCTTCGTACGTCTTTTAGTAAAACTCTAAATTATATTGAAGTAATAATTTTCTTTTGGTCTAACCACGTTATTGTGATGCGAAGGTATGAATTTTGGCGTATAGATACAGTAAAGTATTGAAATACAAAATGTCTATTCCACGTTCAGTATTTGCCGCTATTATTCATTGTATTTCATTATTATTACACATACTTAAGATGCTGAATCATCAAGTGAAAAAAAACAAGCAACTTGTGCAACAAACTTAGCTACCATACCATAGCCAAAGTTTATTACCTTAAAAATGATTATTATACTTGTGATGACATTTAAAGAGTGCATTTACAGTAAGCTGTTGAATATCAGTCAGTAAAACTTTTACCTAATTACTTTTAAGCTACAAATACATAGTATTGTTTATGGTATAGTCGCTAGTACTGAAACAAAGCTATACAGTAGTCAAGAATGATATATGTTATTTAAATACTAACGGTCCTCCTCTGTTTCACCTGCATTTATGGTCGCTTCTCAGGTAAAAAAAACTAGTGTTGTGTTTTATAGACAACATCATTCATCAATAAATATTACATTCAATAAATAAAGAATCATAGAGATTATGGTGGTTAAACAAACAGGAACTCTCCAGTTTTATTACATTAGTATAAATATGTAGGTATAGATATGATTTAAAACTTCAGAATCCTTTCTTTTGATGTATATAAATTTACTTGTAAAAGTAGACTGTGGTATGATAGCATTGCTATTGTATTGTTGTATGTATAAATAACCTACCTTCACACATACAAGGAGGTAAGAAACTGGTAAATATTTACATCATAACTATACTGAAAAATAACTACAAATAATAATAATACTAATGCACCATGTCTTTATGCATCAAGGCTACCAATATTGGTTTTGAACTACAATGCTAATTTTACCAGCAAATAAAGTGCAGGTTTCTCATCATGTAAACTTCTGTTTTAATATTTTTTGATAGAATATTTATCATAACTTCACACATCAACAGTCGTTAATAGGAGATATTGAGCCTTTAATATTTAATGAGATTTGTGAAAATATTGTTTATTTATTATTTAATAGTCCACTGCTGGACATAGGCCTATCTTTAGAACAAAGCCTTTGGCCTACTATGCTATGTGTTGTGTGTTTCTTTACTTTTTTGCAGTGCTGTTGTCCTGCATTGTTTCAACAACACCCACATGATGAATAGGGGTGGTAATTCTTAATACATTACCACACAGACTCAGGCACAAATATTATCACAGGCAAAATGCTTTAAATAACTTAATCTAAAATAATTTTAGTTTTCAAAACTTAAGTCTCAACTTTGCATTTCTGGCTCTTCTAATGGTATAGGAGCTAGCAACGTTTTCGAGAAAGAATTTTAGGTCAGCTGATTTTGTGATATGTCGTCCTTCTTGCACTTTCGGTTAGACTCTGGGCTATCTGGCTGGCGGTAGCGGTTGCGTTCATTAGTGCGCATCCTACCTGTCCAGGTAGTAATCCTGTATTTTAAAACCATTTTAGAAGGCGTAATTTTTAATTTTTTGTTTTTAAATAAGTCTACCTGACATACTTTTTTTATTGCCAGACATTTTTGACAATGCTAACTATGTGCCATACGCGATTTTATTTTATTTTTTTATAAAAATTTCAAAGTATTTTATAATGTCTGTAATTTTAATATTATGTTATTTAAGATAAGAAAAACTTAAAATAAATTTGCCAGACATTAATTCAATTGTTAAGTCTTGAATTAAAATTAAAAAGTCATGAAAAGTATTGCAGTATAATGCTAGTAGTCCGAAGCTGATTCTAGGATTATTTTTCATATTTGCCAAATCGATTTTGACGCAGACGTTGTTATACGCTGTTCTAATTCTGATATTTTAATTATACTTCTGGGAAATATGGATCACCTGAAAGCATCTTTGAAAATTTGGATAAATATGGGTGTTGGAAATCATCAGCGTTACATAAACATCAATGAATTACACCGAATTCTTGGTGACTCCTTATGCAAAGCTTTACCATGCTTCCACGCAATAACCGGATGTGATTACACGCCAGCTTTTTTTAGAAAAGGCAAAGTTAAGCCTTTTAAAATATTAGAAAATTCTAAAGAATACCAGTTAGCTTTTGATAATATTATTACGGATGACGAAGAAATACTTGAAACTACGTTTGTAACCCTGGAGAAATTTATTTGTCAAATGTATGCAGTTAAAAATTGTTCCAATGTTAATGATGTTCGATTTCATTTATTTTCAAGTACGTTTAAGTCTAAAAAATCAGATGAGAACTTCAACAAAAAATTTCGAAACTTTGACTCCTCCAGTTTGCCACCCTGTAAAGCGGAATTGCAACAGCATTTATTGAGGGTTCGTTACGTGACGAAAATTTGGAGAAATGCTCACTCAATACATCCAACATATTTATCTCCAATGACTTTCGGTTGGACCATTAACGGTGACAAATATGATTTTGTCTGGTTTTTGGGAGATCAATTACCATCCTCAGTTGCAGATATTATTGTTCAAAGTAAGTGTGAAATGGAATATTTATCAATAATAACTAAAATGTTTTATAACGAACTAGAAGAATTACACTGTTTATTTTTTTTCTGTTGCAGATGATAGAGTTTTAGAAGATAACGAAAGTTCCCAAGAAGATGACATGAATGACACTGACAAAGACAGCGATGATGATGATGATGATTATGAAGATGCCTCTTTTTTTTTGTAACTTTGGTTGAAATAACTTGAAAAACTTAATATTAATTTATTTATAATTTACATAAAAAAAAAGTGTTGTTTATTTAAATAAAAAGTGTTGTTTTTTAAATTTTAATCTAATTTTTTTTTTTTTATATTTATTAATAAAAGGACTTTGTCGCTGAGCGACTACATCGTCCCATATGGACTAATCTAATTTTATATTCCTTTTTATGCTTAAAATTTTTTTTGAAACTTGCTCTGACTAGAATGATGATTATTATTATTCTTATTCTTATTAATTTTTTTTAATTATATGCACAGTGAAAAGTAATTTACTTTCGTAATGGTTCTCTGTATCATTCTCGACTTATTCTGCAACTATCTCTCTCGGACTACTAGCATTATACTGCAATACTTTTCATGACTTTTTAATTTTAATTCAAGACTTAACAATCGAATTAATGTCTGGCAAATTTATTTTAAGTTTTTCTTATCTTAAATAACATAATATTAAAATTACAGACATTATAAAATACTTTGAAATTTTTATAAAAAAATAAAATAAAATCGCGTATGGCACATAGTTAGCATTGTCAAAAATGTCTGGCAATAAAAAAAGTATGTCAGGTAGACTTATTTAAAAACAAAAAATTAAAAATTACGCCTTCTAAAATGGTTTTAAAATACAGGATCACTACCTGGACAGGTAGGATGCGCACTAATGAACGCAACCGCTACCGCCAGCCAGATAGCCCAGAGTCTAACCGAAAGTGCAAGAAGGACGACATATCACAAAATCAGCTGACCTAAAATTCTTACTTTCCAAACGTTGCTAGCTCCCGTACCATAAAAGAAGTATTATAAAAATCTCCTTCAGCATGTCTCCTACTCTTAAGTTGGTAGAGGATACGATCCTGGGATCCAGAAAGGATTGAGACCAGAAACTTTTACACAATACAATTGAAACTGTCTAAATACCCTATCTGCTGGTTATCTTGTCAAGCCTGATTCATATCAAATAATCAGATCTATATAAAACTGTGGCAAAGTTTTAAGTCACAGATAATGTCTAGTGTTATGAAAACCGATTATTATCTGTTGGGCTACAATTTAAAGTTAGATAAATTATAAAACAAAGTTTAGTAGAACTGAGTTTCTACTTTTTTGAGGGAAGAGATCGAGAATGTGTTTGTGAGATTAGAATTATGCAAAGAAGTGTGTGTGTGTGTGCTTATTGTGTATTTATTACTACATAATAAATGAGTTTGAGTCTCGTCGCATTCTTAGAATAATACTGAAAGCCTATGGGGTAGTTTCCTAGATTTAAAATAAAATGTTTATTCTTACCTTATTAAATTAAATGTTGTTATATTTAAGTTTAAATTACATGTAAAAAATATATTTTAAAATCTCACACCATCTAATCCTAAATTAAGCAGAGCCCTTTTTTTTCTTGTGCGGAAATCCACTCTGATACCATCCACCGCTGGCTATGTCGGACTCGAACCCGTAGATGACCCCCTCCTGTAAATTTATTAAGCAGAGCCTATGCGACAGTAACCAGACTGCCAATAAACATATCTTTCTAAACACTGAAATATCATGAATACTTTGGCAATCGCTAAATTTGACGCCCAAACTTATTAATTCTTTCAAGTCTGAAAAACAAACCGTTTAGATGTTAAAAAGGCTGAAGTGTTTTTTACTAAACAGCAAAATACCGTATTGTACAAGGTCTCTGTAAAAATATAAAGCTTTGTAACATATCTTATCTTTTTGTACAATAAAATGTTTGTCTAGTAAGGTCACATCTGAATGTAGTGTAATCAATAAATGTATTAGAACGTATTTCTTTAGGACCCAATGTTTTCAGATTTTATAGCGAATAATTCGTGACGATACTCAGGCCTACTTTGTTTCATTATATTCGGTCACAAGTACAGTAGTTTAATTCACCCTATTGTTATTACAATAACAATTCACAATTGTTATTAAATGGCCCTTGTGATAAATAAATCGAGTTTTAGACTTTGTACTGAAAGCCAATAGAGGTTAGTAAATGGTTATGAACGTATGTGCTTAGATTTGGTAAAATAACTGTTCTAATATCATAATGACATGGCTTCTAGCTATTCCCTACACTATTGCACGGATGGCGTAGTGGGTTAAG